AAAATGGCGTCCGAAACTCCCAATTACATAACAACGGGGATTGTATTGCGTGGCTATTACTGAGTAAAGTCAGTGACTTGGCATTTGAACATAATTTCTGTGGTAGCTTAGTTCACTACGGTCGTAATACTACAGAATCTATGGGGTACTTTGGATTCATTTCAAGTCACCTCGTCCATGTTTCCATTACATATACTTTGAAAAGTTTCCTCTCTATTTACCCCAGGTGTCAGTTGACTTGGATCGGTAAGTCAACAGCAGAAAAGCCAAAGTACGCGCTATCGCCCAGTTGAAAGCAAAACAACGCGATCGGGTAAATGACAGTTATAAGTTTCATTATAAATTTAAATGTACATCGTTACCTAAACAAATATTACCACCTAGTTTTTCAACCAATAATTGTTCAATCAGTAGGTAAAACTAAATTACATTAAGAAAATTAACCAATAAAAGACATACAGCAAATAAATATTATCCTAGCCTTTCTGAATAGGTCACATGCAGATTGTTAGCAAGATAACACTTGATTTCGTTACAACACGGAATGTTTCCAGTTTAAGAAGATTGCTTCAATTCACGGCGACATATACACAATGCTAGTCATTGTGAGCAACACAATGTATGAGAGGAGTTAACCAGTATAGCAGTTGCCATAACCTAATACCGACTAAAAAACGTAGATGTGATTCAGATAAAACTTACAGATACAATGAAGAAGTAAGGAAAGAAGACTGCGAAAAATACAAATAGTTCCATCCTAAGTGGAATCAAGATAAGCAAAATATACATCCAAAGCATCAAAATGTAACGAATCACAGCAGTGTGAATGTGGAGGTATATTCATGTACAGAACTTTCAAAAATATTTTCACGAGTGCAAGAGAATTTGAGGGTATCGAAAGCATGAATCTCATGGCAGAGTGTCTTAAGTTCAATCCCCATCCTGATCTTTATAAAAGGCATTATAGATAAAAAAAGACGTCGCCAAATTAGTGCAAACGGACGACACATATACTCAGTGAACGCGAAAAGAACCACACGAACCTTCAAAAGACCCTGTTGTTCGATGAACAAACGTATGTAAATCAAACAGCTAGCGAAGAGTAGATGAAAACAGTGATTTTTGACGTGAGAGAACTGACAAAAATCCTGAGTCAATGATTTTTCTAATAATAAAGCTAACTGATGTCAAAAATTAGTCTTACACGTATATACAGACCAAAAGCGTGCATTTGTTACAAATGAAGCATGCACAGATAACCGAGTTCGTCTTGTTTCCATAGATTGCGATGATGAGTTAGATGTATGGTTTTCGGAAGTAAATTGACAACTATCACCACTTACATCCTAAAAACATGCATTTGACCCCAATGCACTGCGTGTATGTCCATATGTATAAAAAACGCTAACAAAAAATACATTAGGTTTGGGTCATCGTTCTTTTTAAATAATAATAGGACATAGTGTGCGCACAATTTAAATGGAATTATTATTCACATAAATCTTATTACCACATATATTTCTATCAGATAGGCCTTAAAAGTTGCCTACTCGTAAATTGTCACGAAAGCGAAACAACATTGAAGTTTAACCCTACAGCATGTACCACTAAGATAGTATAAATTTCATCACTTGAGAGATACGTTTTGTAAGAAATAGTGCGCTTAAACTTGATGTAAGCACGATGTAACTTTGTAGCGTGGAGTCGAGAGTAGATTAACTATGAACACCGCTACAAAGAAACACGTGCCAAACAATTCAGAAGGCGAAGGTTGGACGTAACCAAATAAATCCATAAAATCCTCGAGAAGCCAAATATCAGAAGACAGTTAATGGACGAAGTCGAGATATTTATTTGCTGGTGATCTCGTGGTATCGAAAGGATACCGAGATCACGCCAGGATACAAGCTTGGTTACAGAACGTAACCGAATTCGCGCGAAGTTACAATCAAAGTGTAAGTAAAAGAATGGAAGCAAAATATAGCTGTCATTAGCACAGTCAAACAAAAACACTTAAAACAAGCACTGGTACAGTTGGTTATAATAATAATTGTTTTTATTAAACCAGTCGTGTTCTCGTGATAAATGTGAGTCACTACAACTTCTTGCTCGTCATGTTAAGCGTATTATTTCATCCCTATTCCAAATGTGTTCTTCAAAAGTGCTAAGCCTCAGATTACTGATTTTCATGTAGGACGAGTTTTATTGCAACTATTTTCCAAATCAATCATCTTATTTTATCAACTGAGCTCTACTCACTATATTCCTGTCAGTATTTATTCATTATGTAATCATTTGTTTCTAGCCGTTTGAACTGTTGTCACAATGTTGTAGAATGTTCTTTTATCATATAAGGTATATATTTACAATATTCGTCTATTTTATTTCCACCCTTGCTGTACTCTATGAATATGTCTTCAATAGAACTCCCAACCAAACACATTCATGTAAGTAATTTAAACCCATTATATAATCATGATCTTAAATATCACAGATTGTAAGTAGTTGAAGAGAACCTATGAAGTGAAAATGAACCCATGCTATTCTGTCAGAATCTTTATTCTTGCACTTTTTAAAATGATAAAGGGAATTATGTGTATGGAAAAAGATATTATGTGGAATGAACAGAAAAGAATATTTAAAGTGTCAGGAGAACAATCATGACAATAACAATAATATGAGCATGAGCAGATTTGGATATTTACATAAAAAAGTTGAACAAGCAGAATCTCAAAGGTCTTACTTTATTTTAAAGTCTGTCAAATAGATATCGGACCTTGTTTCTCATTCGTAATCACACTGATACTTAATAGGTAACATAGGCCATTTTCAGAAAGTCATCAGTTTACCAAATGGTTAACTTATTTGCTTCTTGAAACAACCGTCTTCATTTGTGTGTGGATGATCTTTTTTTATTTTCATATTGCAAATGTAGTAGGTTTTGGTACCAAAATCCCTACTGGCCTGAGACGAGTGAGCTCACTCGGATCACATGGTACACACTCATAAATAACTACTGATTTGGCTTGAATTAGTTCTGTCGAGTGGCTAGACTGCCGACCATTGTGTATTACGAAATACCTAGAATAGTATGGAAACGATGAAAGATCACCTCAAATAAACCAATCCATCTGTACAGGCTCGCCAAAGGGATTGACTAATTATTTCAATCTAATCGCCCACCGATAACTATTTTACTCAATTTAAACCACGAGTTATCCTCTTATATCTTCTCTTTCGACCACTTTGACTAATTTTCGTAGGGGCAATGTGCCGGATATCCAAATGGTCGTTCATGCAAATACCACATATTCCTATGGATTTTTTTAGATTTATTATTGATGAATCGACTGACTAAACTGAAAACACCATGCACATACAGAAATTGTTGTAATATTGCGTGCCTGATTCTGTTCCCATTGGATTTAAACTATTTGTCAAAACTGGCTGTGGATATTTCGGAACTTTTGATTTATCTGAATTTAGATATTAATCTGGACTGGTTTAATTATATCACTGAATGTTTTATGTTTATAATACTTCATAACATTTGGCATCTATATATTCACTTAAACTAACCATGTTGTATCGTAAAAACGTCACATCCAAGTCTGTCGTAAAAGTACGATATAATTAGTGGCTTTATATGACAACATAATACTATGGGAATGTGTCTTAATTCTAGGAGACGTATAACTTGAACTACTTATTTGTTCTAAGTGGTATTGCTATTTATTCATGTGTTATGTACTAAACTGACTAAAGCAATTTTTTATGAATTTAAATAAAACCAGAACAAATATTGATGCAGAATAATATGAATTCATCACATTTCGAGGTTTCTCGTCAGTTGCTTACAGCCAAATATGTGTTAGAATTTTACAATAAGATAAGAAATAGTATGGAATAATTGACATAAGTGGATGTAAAGGATTGGAATGACAAATGTTATCAATGATAACTATATATATAAGAACAGGTCAGATGAGTCCCAAAAAGGGTATTGTACGAACCCTTTTTGACCGCGCACGTAAAATTTGCCCAAAGGAATGCTTGGCAGAAGGAATTGCTCTCATCACTAAGTGTCTACGTCAAAATACATATCCGGCGAAATTCATCCATTAATATGCAAATACCAACCCAAGGGTAAAGTATGACAGAGTGGAAAAGAAAACTTGCTTCCTATACTTACGCTTTAAAGGAGATGAAATTACTGGAATAATTAATCATAGAATAAATTCCGCGGTGAAAGTGACCTACCCAGCAGCAAAACTGACGATGGTATGAGAAACGAACTGCTCACTCAAACAAACTAAAATCGACAAGTCCTCTTTCCACAGTAGCTACAACTGCATTTACCAATTCACATGTACGGGCCAAAGCACATACATTGGAAGAACTGAGAGAATATATGTTCGCATTTCTGAGCATGTTTCAAAGAAATTGAGGCTGAGAGGGACTAAGGCTCTCAACAGTGCAATAGCTCGGCATTTACTTGACACCGGACATACCGTTGACATCTCTCATGCTTTTAAAATGATTAACAAACAAAGAAGTATGGCTGCTCTCCGTTTTGCTGAAGCGATAGCGATATAAAAACTTAAGCCGGATCTATGTATTCAGAAAGAGACAGTAATAAACTTATTACTACTCTGGTAATCCTTTTGTGTGTGTTTGGTTATTAGTTTTATTTTGTTAGTTAATATTTAGTTTATGTTATATTCCTCTCCCATTATCGAATTCTTAAACCACCACATCATTCATAAATGTCCATTCACTTGGCTCTCTTAAATTATGTGGACTCTTGAAATTCCATTCAATGATTACGTAACCCATCTTATCAGTTTTTTAATCCCATGAATCCTTCATTACTTCTCAACTTCACTCGACTATTACACCACCCATCTTTAATGTTTCCTTGATTCTAACACCTAATAACCTCTGACCTATTCTTGCACTTACATATTTGTTATCTCAATGTAAAATTCTAATATATATTTGTGTTGGGTCGGCTTCCGGAGAACTTCAACGGAGCCTCCAGAGGCCCACAAGGAGCCGAAGAGTCCTGGCCAATCAGAGTGTGATGGAACGTTCTAGAATTCCAACGTGGCGTGCTACTATTGGTCGGTAGCATAATGTGTTGTTATCGGATTGGCTGTAAAATGATGTTGATTTAACAGACGCCAAAATCTATAAATACCCATGATTTTCTGTACAAAAATGAACCTTGGAATAAAGTGCTTTCTCTCATTCTTGTGTCTTCTCTCTGGAGTTCAAGTCGCTGTGTAGTTCTAGACTGCGGGTTATCGGAATAGCTTAGGAATCGTATATAGCGTTCAACCTTACACGACTTATCAGTGGCGACGGGGATGAAAACTTCAATGAATATTTCCTTGGAGCAATTAGAAGCTTATATGGTGCGTCAAGAAAAGAGGTTTGAAGAGTCCCATATTAGAATCATGGAAACCCTGATGCAGAAATTCTGCCTGTCCGAGAAAAACCCTGCTTCTAGTGAATCTCAAGTATCACATACTGATTCAGTCATTAACGCCATCCATGAATTTAATTTTGATGGTGTAGCAGGTGTAACTTTCGAGTCGTGGTTTAAGAAGTATGAAGATTTGTTTTATATTGATCTTTGCAAACTGGATGATGCTTCAAAAGTCAGAATACTTCTTAGAAAACTTGGGACTATGGAACATGAACGCTATAGCAACTTCATTCTTCCGAAGAACCCACGAGATTTTAGTTTTGATGATACAGTCAAAACCCTATCCCAAATCTTCGGAGAACAATCATCTCTATTTAATATCCGTTACCAGTGCTTAAAGTTAACGAAAGAACCAGGAGATGACTGGGTGAAGCATGCAGGAACTGTGAACCGAGAATGTGAGAGATTTAGATTGTCGTCCATGTCTGAAGATCAGTTTAAATGCTTAGTATTTATCTGCAGCCTGCGTTCACCCGAAGATGCCGATATCCGAACCAGAATCCTAAGCAAACTCGAACACTGCCCTAACATGACCCTGCAAGAAGTGACTACTGAGTGCCAAAGGTTAGTAAACTTAAAGCATGATACCTCAATGGTAGAAAACGGTAACTGTTTCCATAACGTCAATGCAGTCAAGAGAAAAGTCTTTCAAGGTTCCAGTACCCATAATTTTCAAAATAACAGCGACAAACCATCATCTCCATGCTGGGCATGTGGAGGTTGGCACTATAAGAGGTTTTGCCCATATAAAGAACATCGTTGCAGCAAATGTCATCGGAAGGGGCATAAAGAAAACCTCTGCAGGAGAAGAGACTATAGACAACATTCCTTGAAATCTTACTCAAAGAAATACAGATATAGTGCTCCAACCAATAAGATATTGGTATCACATAACACGGCACGAAGTTGCCGCCGAAGAAAGTACGTAACCTTGGATATTAATAAACACCGTACCCGCCTTCAGCTGGACACAGCTTCTGATATTACTTTAATCAGCCCAGAAACGTGGAAGAACATTGGGAGACCCACAGTTTTCCCAACAACACAGCTGGCACACAGTGCATCTGGGGGGAAGTTGAATATTGTTGGAGAAGTGCCATGCACTGTTTCTAAAGGTACGGTAACAACAAATGCAACATTGTATCTTACTAAGAAGCCAGCACTAGACTTAATGGGGTTGGACCTTATAGAAACACTTAAACTAGCAGATCATTCTATCAACAGTATCTGCAGACGAGTAAGTACAGACAACACCCCAGAATGGAATCAGAAAAACGCCATGCTACAAAGACATCAAAACGTGTTTAGAGAAGGATTGGGAGAATGTACGAAAGCCAAAGCACTGTTAACTCTAAAGCCTGCAGCTACTCCCGTTTTTCGACCAAGGAGACCCGTACCATATGCTGCTCTACCAGTGGTTGAACAAGAACTAGAACGACTTCAGAAACTAGGTGTCATTGAACCAGTGAATTTCTCAGAATGGGCCGCACCGATAGTAGTAGTAAAGAAGACTAATGGTAGCGTTCGTTTATGTGCCGATTACTCAACCGGGTTGAATGAAGCCTTAGAAACTCATCAGTATCCATTACCCTTACCTGAAGATCTTTTTGCTAAACTGAACGGAGGTAAGCTTTTTGCAAAGTTGGATTTATCAGAAGCTTATTTACAAATCCCTGTTGCTGACGAGTCTAAAAACCTGCTTACCATAAACACACACAAGGGTCTATTCCGGTATAATCGATTACCCTTTGGAGTCAAGACGGCCCCATCCATATTTCAGCAAATAATGGATACTATGCTACAAGATGTTTCAGGTGCTGCAGCTTACCTAGATGATATAATAATTATGGGAGTAGATAGAGTAGACTTAGAAAAGAAGCTTGACCAGGTGCTGACACGAATAGCCGAATATGGACTTCGACTTCGTCCAGAGAAATGTGACTTCTGTATGCAAAAAGTACGTTACCTTGGGTTTATAATCGACAAAGATGGAAGAAGACCAGATCCGGAGAATACCCAGGCAGTGAAAACTATGCCCAGACCGACGGATGTCACCACACTACGATCCTTCTTGGGACTAGTTAGCCATTATGGAGCTTTTATCCCAAACCTTCATCAATTACGTGCCCCCCTGAATAACCTTCTGGTGAAGAATGTAAAATGGAGTTGGTCTGCAACTTGCCAAGCTGCTTTCGATGAAATCAAGAAAGTACTAGTCTCGGATCTGCTGCTCACCCATTACGATCCATCCTTACCCATTGTAGTGGCATCAGACGCATCAAACTACGGCATGGGAGCAGTTATTTCTCACATCATGCCAGATGGATCCGAGAAAGCGATATCACATGCGGCTAGATCGTTAACGTCAGCAGAACGTAACTATAGTCAGATCGAGAAGGAAGCATTGTCGATTATCTTCGCTGTCAAGAAGTTTCACAAGATGATATTTGGACGTCAGTTCACCCTATTAACTGACCATAAACCATTACTAGCCATCTTTGGGTCGAAGAAAGGTATACCGGTATACACAGCAAACAGACTGCAACGTTGGGGGACCACACTTCTGGGTTACGACTTCAAGATCAAGTATCAGTCTACTACCGCTTTCGGGCAAGCTGACGCATTGTCGAGATTAATAGGCTCCCAATCGAAAACCCCGGAGGAGACTCTTGTAGCAAATATAAAAGCCGAGGAAGAAGTTCATCGCGTGTTGGATGACGCAGTTAATGGACTCCCAGTAACCTTTGAAACTATCAAGAAGATAACTGAAAGTGATAAGATACTGAGCTCAGTTAAATGCTATCTCTTGACCAAATGGCCAAACAATCGCCTCGACGGAGAACTTTTGCAATATTTTCGTCGACGGGACTCTCTAATGGTTGTTGACTCCTGTATTATGTTCGGTGATCGCATTGTTATTCCGAAGTTATTACGTCACAAGGTTCTCAAGCAGTTTCACAGTGGCCATCCTGGAATCAGTAAAATGAAATCTTTGGCTCGTAGCTATGCTTATTGGCCGTCAATGGACAAAGATATCGAGAATAAATGCCGTAACTGTTCATCATGTATTCAAGCCGCTAAAAATCCTTCGAAATGCGAACCTCAGTGTTGGCCTATGCCCGCGGGACCCTGGGTAAGACTTCACGCAGATTTTGCCGGTCCAATCCAAGGGAAAATGTTTCTAATTATCGTAGATGCATTCACTAAATGGCCGGAAGTATACATCATGCCAAATTGTACAACGTCAGAAACGATCCGCAAGTTGTCTACCCTATTTAGCAGTTTCGGAGTACCAGAGACCTTAGTGACGGATAACGGCTCTCAGTTTGCCGCAGAATCGTTTAAACATTTCTGTAGAACAAACGGAATAAATCATCTTCGTTCTCCACCCTATCATCCACAATCAAACGGACAAGCAGAGCGCTTTGTGGACACTTTTAAACGAGCATTACTGAAAGGGGGAGGAGAAGGGACGACTGAGCAGGTGATCACAAAATTTTTAACATCATACAGATCCACCCCAAACCCAAATGTTCAAGACGGCAAATCTCCCGCGGAAGCCATGTTTGGAAGGCGTATTCGAACAGTCTTCGATGCCATGTTGCCATCCAAACTAGTGGATGAGCGTAGTCGCGATCCAAGTATCCGGAACTTCAGTATTGGCGACAAAGTCTACATTAAATCCTACATCGGGAAGAACCGATGGGAGCCGGGCGAAGTGGTGCAAAAACTGGGAAGAGTACTGTACAAAGTTCGAGGAGCTTTTGGGACATGTATACGTCACACAAATCAAATCCTTAAGGACAAAAGAACAGTGCAGACTCGAAGTAACCGGCCGACTTTCCCGTTAGATTTAATCTTAGACGCACCAATGCCACAAACGCCCAGGAACACTGAAAAGAAGTCTTGGACAAGAAAGACGACAAGAATAATGGGACGCCGTCGCAATCCAGTTATCAAACTACAAGTGGATCCCAGAAAGAAATCTTATTCGGGGGAGGTGTTGGGTCGGCTTCCGGAGAACTTCAACGGAGCCTCCAGAGGCCCACAAGGAGCCGAAGAGTCCTGGCCAATCAGAGTGTGATGGAACGTTCTAGAATTCCAACGTGGCGTGCTACTATTGGTCGGTAGCATAATGTGTTGTTATCGGATTGGCTGTAAAATGATGTTGATTTAACAGACGCCAAAATCTATAAATACCCATGATTTTCTGTACAAAAATGAACCTTGGAATAAAGTGCTTTCTCTCATTCTTGTGTCTTCTCTCTGGAGTTCAAGTCGCTGTGTAGTTCTAGACTGCGGGTTATCGGAATAGCTTAGGAATCGTATATAGCGTTCAACCTACACGACTTATCAATTTGGTTGTAAGCAACTAATTGCATGAAGTTTTTTATGAGAAGGCTTTATTAGCTGTTTCATATTTGTAATGAGGAAACTTTCAATACTTGGTATGAACACAGAGCTAATAAACCAATGCTTATTCAATTAGATCAAATTACATTCATTTGCATAGCGTAGGAATTAATTTGTACTACAGATATTCTATTAGAACAATAAACGCGATACTGACGATCTCGGACAACTTGGCTTTAAACTTTATCTATTTCTAAATGTAAAAACAATTAAGGAAATTCTAATTATTAAGTAGGACGTACAAAACAAACCGATCCGTATTATGTGTCTTATAGAAATGATTAAAAAAAATGTGAGTCACACTAATATAATAAGATAATTATGTCCTTCAATTGGTAGGACACAAGCAACAAGGATCAGTCTACGCAGACATCAGACTAGATTGACGTAGTGGGTGTTTAAGCAACATTTTGATTGGTTTGTTATGGATATAACTAATGTTTATAGAGTAAAATGCCTTTTGTAGTCAGTCACTTGTATTAAATTACATCAAAGCAGTCATTAATTGTGCTTGGTACAATCGATTCTAATGTGAAAAAGACAAATTATATCAACTACTTCACATTAGTTTATACATACTTTATATTGAACTTTTAAATGTCACAAATATTTGTTTATATGAGTGATATTACGTAATAAGATGAATCAAGGACTCATCTTCAGTCACGTATGTAAGACTGTAGGCTTTAGGTTGATATTAGCACAATTAACTATTCAATTTGAATAATGAGCCAAGAGCCCCTAGATGCTCTGGTTCAGCAGAGAGTGGGGAGAGTTCGCTCTCCTTTTCGAAATCCTCTCACATGGCCACGCGTATACAGCTACTGTCAGGGAATTCCTACTCACTGCATCCTCGCGATGGCGGTGTTGTTTACGAAATTAAGAGGATTAAAAGCGAATGTCTCGCGATTTAAGCGGGTTGGTGAATATGATGGATCCACCTAGGTGGGTTGGAAAACCTTGATACCAAACAAATGATTCACATGAGCTCTAGGATCCTGAGGGACCAAATGGCGTATGGACCAATCGTTGGTCACCGGATACCATGAGAACGTCGGAGTCTCCGGGAGTGACCTCCTAAGAAAAACACCTGCTTCAGTTTGGGCATCTGGGCAGTATCACAGCCCACACATAAATCAAGTGACTTGTGTGGTGCATATGTATTCGATGCCCCCTAGACATGAATTGTTGTCCACAGGATTTGCATGTAAAATAATGATGATAGGATCATCCATTATGAAAAATTGATTCATCAAAACTGATAAAGTACTATAATAAGAAAAGGTTGTATATAAAATGATAATAATATTCCATGAACAAACGGTATAACAAACAATGAATAATGGATTTAAAACTCATAATACTTAGTGTATTATTGTTATGAGAATTTGTCCAAAAGCTACGCATTGTGATAAAATAATTTGGCGATTTTTGGCAAACTCTAAAATAACAAAAGAAATTTAATAAATCAATTAAATGTAAACATAAACAAAAGTTACCAAGACGAAGATTATTGGAAATTCTTGAAATCATGAATCAAACTTAGATTGGTAATCATCGAAAACTTGAAAGCATTGAACAGATGACAACTGAAGGGTCTCATACTACCCATTGATTTTGAATGATATCAGTCAACGTATTCAACTATTGATTATGCGAGTTGTGAGGACTTTTGTCTGATATGTTGTATTTGACTATATTATTTAATTCAACAGTCAATGACTTTAAGAGTTACACTTATTAGTGAAACTTTATCTCATTAACTAGTTAAATGGAGGTCCAGTAAGTCTAAATATACAGAACCTTGTTGATTATCTACAGTACCACATAAAACTAGGTAGTATGAGCTAACTGATTTAGTATAAAGCAGACACGAACTTGAGACGGGTCGAACTCAGGACTTTTCGATCTAGTAGTGGACGTATTACATTTAAAACCAAATCTCTACAAAATCTCCAGTTAAAATTCCACAAAGGACCAACTTCAGGATGAATTCTTAAAGGGTTTGTGAGTTGTGACAATTGAAGTCCAATTATGTTAAGAAGGACAGTCATAACCGATTGGGTTGAATAATAGTTACAATTTATCTGGAAAACATTGTAGTCGGAGATTTGATCCACTGGATCTCAACTTATTAACCTAAAAGCGACTCAGTGACAACGAAACATGGTCACCGGCTTGATTCTCAGTATGACAGTGGCACGTACTGCTAACCTTCATACTAGGACCGGTTAGCTGTTTGTTGTTCTTTTCTTTTCAATGGTACTCAATTCGATGTCAGTTCTTGATGAAAATAAACTATAAATTGACCTAATTCTCACAAAAATAATCATCTAGAGGTTAATGTTGAACCATTTGGATTATAAATAAGGACGTGAAATAAACAGAGATGAGTTAAAAGGAATAATAAGAGCTTTAAATTTCTATTGAATGTGATGAAATATGATTAGTATATAAGGTATCACCGGTTTATTTATATTCAACAAATTCAATCAGTACAATGTTCACTTAAGTTTCTGACATCAACTTTAAATGAAAGCTATATTACCAACTAACTCCTGAATAGTCAAATGGGAAAATGTACTATGTGAAGTTAAAATTCACCATGAAATTTCAAAGTATTAAAGATGAAAGTATAATGTGCTGACAACCTTGGGCGAACTATCAGTTAATCAGGAGACGCTAACGAATTATAAAAGAATTAACAGCAATAAGCAATAATAGCTCTGATCTTAATAATCAACCTTCCTATGAAGAATTATTCATTTTAGTAAACGAAAAAGGTTAAGGTTTGCAGATTAGGGGTTGAGTTAGCGTTGTGAGCTAAGACTATTACCCCAAATAGATCTTGTCAACAAATAACACTCGAGATAACACAAAAAGGTAGGAGTTACGCTGGAGTTCTAAAGTGCGTGTACAAGTCAGGGTTGAAGTTTTCGTCAAGAGATGGCATCAACTATAATCCAATTCTTTACCATCCGTTTGTTTACAAACTTATAAAAGTTGAGATTCGAGTTAAAAATTAAGGAATTGAGTGATAAAATACTATCTAGCCTCACGAAGCACTATTGACTACATACTGAATTACATCAGGTACTTAACCAAACATTCTGACTTAAGAGTGTTTTGAAATTTATCATGGGCATAATCTAAAATTCACTTTTTGGTTGCATAATATATATCGTTTTCAATTTCAAACATTGCCAATATTTATTTTGCTTGTGGTAACATAATAGTTATCTACCATTGCACTTCTGTATGGTTAACTCAATGCCATCAGTATATGATACCTTTACCCCATTAAACTAAGAATAATTATAAATGTTTTATCTTGGTAAAGATTTTCGTATACATCACGTTAGAGTGAAAGGTTTAGTCAAATTATTATAGAACTGATTGCTATGAATCAACTGAGAACTGTGAATTCAATAGATGTGCAAAGCAGTGGTTCTTTGGTATTCCGTGTCTACAAAGTTTGATAAGTCCACATACTAGTTGAAGAGGATTGTGAACTGAGTTTTACCATTAGTGACAGAAATAAAAAAAAACCTAAATAAAGAGAAAGGACAGTTAAAATGAATAAATTTCATACCTAAAAGCGTCATGAATACAAATGCTGCTTGTTTTTTACTGCAACCCAATGGACAAAGGTTTTCAATGTCGATCGAATATGAATTTGACTCTATTAGTTGACTATAGAGATATCTAAATTGAAGAATCAAAGTGTTATTATATTCATGAAGGGAAAAATACTAAATATATCTTCAATACGTAGATGGATACAAAACAATCATACAAATCACGATTAAATTGTAGTAAAGGTTGAATCAAGAGTTACAACAGAGAAAGTTGATTTCTAAGTACGAACTCATGAACATATTAATAGAATTCGGAAACTTAACACTAACAAAAAAACCCACTAAAAACAAAACTTATAGGTTGAACCAATTAAACATCAGTTCAGGCCTAAATACTAAATGAGAGTTGATAAGTAGTGAATACAATTGGTCAAGATTTAGTTTAATTTTCCGAGGAAAAAGATATATGCTATCAGTTGACTCAATTTCCTGTGTGGTTCGCCACAGGACTGAGCTGTACTATTCAGATTGTAGCGTTAAAGCATATACGGTGTCCGGTTCTCCTGAAAACCAATGTAAAATTACCCTGACCCACAGGGGTATATTAAATAACTGTGAATGCCCCCAAATGCTCTGGTATGGCCGAGAGTGGGGTAGTTTCGCCCTCCCTCTCGAAATGCTCTCACACGGCCACGCGTACACAGCCTCTGCCAGGGAAGTCCTACTCACTGCCTTCTCGTGGCGGGGGTGTTGTTTACGAAATTGAGAGGACGAAAAGCGAATGTCCGGCGCTTCAACCGGATTCCAAACCAATGGTGCACATGGGCTCCAGCATCCTGCGGGAAAAAATGGCGTATGAACCAATTGTTGGTCACGGGCTACCATGGGACTGCATCTCCTCACGATGCTCCACTGCCTTGTGGGTCAGACCTTTAGGTCAAAGGCTCGGGGTGTAGCCCTTTAAGAAAACCACCTGCTTCGGTTTGGGCACCTGAGCAGTATCCCATCTCTCACACAAATTGAATGATTTATGTGGCGCATATCTATTTGGTGCCTCCTTGTACCAATGTTTATGTGTTAAAATAAAGTAAATAAAAATAAAATAATAGATAGACATTAATATTTATGAAATTGTTTGTGTAAACCTTTTAATTCAGTTAGTCAATAAAAGCTTCCTATCTACTTTTGGCTTTTTCGTGCAAGTAGAAGGTTAGGGACAAAAACAGAAAGGATAGAAATCAGTATCATGAACACATATGAACTCGTGGTTGAAGATATGAATATCTATACAAATCTGACGAAAAGACGTTTCATTGTAGTAAATGAAATTACTAATTAATTAAAAAAAACAAATGAAAATGTGTTCAG